TGTCTTTGAGATAGTGTTTCTTAGCAACGAACCCAGACTTCTTCTGAGTAGCTTTTGACCTGCAGCCAAAAGTCTGCACTGCACCCCTAATCTTCAAGGATGAGCTAACCACCCCCACCTTAAATTGCAGCTGCATCCACACTTGGCAGGACTGGCCAAGTTTGAGCACCTAAGACTAACCAATTATCTTACTTTATAGCTCATCCAATCCTAAATTGCCAAGACTGCAACTTCAAATTTCCTGCAATTTTTCTTTTAAAAACCTAAAGGCCTTTGTCTCTGGGTGCCACTCTTTGCTGACCAGCAGGGGTGACCCCATTGCACAATGGTTAATAAACCTCTTGCTTTTGCAATGAGTCGTGGTCTGGGAGAGTTTCTGAGAAGGGCGCGATCTTGAACTCCTGAGCTGTGAGACCCCAGGTCTTACAGAATCATGGGATGGAAGAAAGAGATCCTAACAAAGCCACAAAGTACAGAGAGCAATAGAATACTTTTGGGAAGGAAGGAGAAAGGGAGACTAGCTTGAAGGAGGGAGGGGTATGATGGAGAAGGGAGAAAGGAATAAATGAGAATGAAGTCTAATGACACATGTATATGAAGATGCCATGATAAACAGCGATTTGTGTCCTAATCTAAAGCATAAATAAATTAATTTTTTTTAAAAAGATGAAATGAAGCCATAGGTTAGAGACTCATTTAGATAAATTGCAGGTATGTGATTTCTTAATCACAGATGGTCTAACTGAGAAATGAACACCCGGCCTTGGGTTGTGTTCTCTCAGTCCCAGCTCATGTGCTGGTGCAAACCTGAATCTAGTTTGATCTCTACCCTGGATTTATTTTGGAAACACACAAGGGTGTCCAGACAAAACCACAACATCCTGTTCTCCTTGCTGATGGGGTCAACATTCTCAGGAACAACAACAGCTGAGCTGGAAAAGCCAACAGGGAATGGCAGTGAGCAAGTCTGACCCCTGCACTGGGCTGTAGGACACCCCTGTGAAAGCTCCATGTTCTGGAAGACTGAGGATCTGCTTTACTACAAAGAGCTTGGAAATCAGTCCTCTGAAAAATAAACCGGCCTGGAAACATTCCTTGGAGATACTAACAAACCCCAAATATAAAAATAAGCAATGGTTTGATTGACAGCCACACAACTTCGTGTCTGAGGCACTACAGAGGCTTTGAAAATGAAGCAAAGCATGCACTTCAGTTTCCTCCAGTTCATCCTAAGAACACATTCACTGACCCTGTGTATTCATGGCAGGCACACTGCACACAAGCGTCACGGACTAGAAGATCCTGCCAATTCTGGGAACCTTCTTCCTCTGGATAATACATCTTCTCCACAGTTAAGGCTACAGAAGTTTCCCCCTAAAGTGAATATTAGTGAGATATTAAACTTGAAAGCATTCTCCATTCTCTGTGTGTCTTTGCTTTTATCCTCTAATTCAAAGCTGCTGTACTGCTGGTATGTAATGTTTAAGAGGCATTAAATTAGATCCTGCAAAGAGACAGAGGTTGATCGGAGACAGACCTACCTATAAAGGCACTAATACGTTTTGTGATTCCTAGAGGAAAAGAATAAATATAAGCAGCATAAATAATGATAATAATAGAACCGTAATTATTCAGCTCTCACTCTGCACCGAAGGATTCTGGAAAACGGTGCTGCACAGTCACCCTGGGACAGCCTCTGCGCCTGCCACACGGACGCGGGAGCTCTGTTTGATGCCATTGCAATAATTTCCTTCCAGTTTATACCAACAGCGAAACAAAAATTTATGAGCCACGTAATTACCTCCCACAGGACATGAGAGTGAAGGGTTGTGTTTCCTGTGTTTCTTGGTCAAGGTCACGCACCTTGACAGCAAGTTAGGTCAAGGTCAGTTTCTGTTGTTGGCACGTGTCTGCTCTGGACCCTCCTGGCAGACACAGGCACTTAATTCAGATTCTGTACTTTTGCCTGTGCAGTTACCTTTCCCTTGTTCTCAAGGTCACAGTTGCCTGAAATTTTGTCACTCCAGCCTTGGTGTGATGTTTGAATATGGTTATCTTATTATTTGATTGGGTCTGACATTCAGTTGTTCTCGTGCTAAGCACAGAGACAGACACATGTAAGCATTCAATACAAACTATTACTTGGAAAAATGCTGATTAAAAATAGACCTCTTTTATCCCTGAATGTAGGAATATGTGGCTCTCTGTTTCTTAAAACTTAAGTCTCTTGGGCTCTTTTCCTTATGTTTGTGTTTTATCCAATTCTAACGTGTAAGTTTTCGTTTTGTCTCATTATATTATATTTTATTGCTATCCCATAGAAGCCTGTTTGTTTTGTGATGAGAGCTAGCAAGAGAGTGGGTCTGGATGGGAGGAACGACCTGGGAGGAGTAGAGGAAGGGAAAACTATAATCGAGATTTATTATGAGGGAGAAAAAAATCTATTTTCAATGAAAGGAAAATATATACATAAATATATATACTGTAGATGGGGCTTCTACAGTGGTAGGGTTTTTAACATACCACCTTAAATCTTTCATAATCACTTCAGTAAGTTAAATGTTGTTTCAAAAAAAAAAAAACCTGAATTTTTCTTCTACTACTTAAAAATGTCTGTTTTAGATCATCTATAAATCAGAGTTTTTTAAGTACTGAGTATTGAGCCTTGGACCCCATTTGAATCACACTAGGACCTGTTTCTCTGGGCTATCGCTGCCCTCTGCCTCTTCACTTTGAAAGTCTCACTGTGTTGTCCAGTGTAGCCTGTATAGGTCAGGTTAAGTTTTCAAATCTCCTACTTCACCCTCCCAAGCAGCTGAGATTATAGGTGAGAGATGCCGGGCTGTCTCCAAGCACATTTTTCTTTACATGGAAAGACTGTAAGATTGTTGAATATTTAAAAGAAGGTTGGGATGGGGCGCAGCTAGGAGAATAGCTCAATGGCAGAGCTCTTGACTGCGATTTTTTACATTGAATAAACATTTCTTTTTTTTAACTTTTTTTTTTTACATCCAAACTGCAATTTTCCCTTCCCCCCTCTCCTCTCAGGCCCTACCTCCTTTCTTTCCCACCCTCATCCACAGAAAAGATCCTCATCTTCAGAAAAGATCAGGTCTCCCATGAATATCTACCAGAAATGATATACCAAGTTGCAGTAAGACTAGGCACCTCCTCTCCTAATAAGGCTAGACAAGACAACCCAGTAGGGAGAAAAGGTCCCAAAATCCAGCAACGGAGTTAAAGACAGCTCCTGCTCACATGATTAGAAGTCCCAGCTATATAAATGTGCAGAGCCTAGGTTAGGCCCATGAAAACTCCCTGGTTGGCCACTCAGTCTCTGGGAGCCACTGGGAGCCCAGGTTGATTGGCTCTCTGGGTTTTCTTGTAGTTAATTAACATTTTGAAAGCCTTGGGTTCACGCCCATTCAACACTAAAAACAGATACATTTTTATAAAATCCACCCATAGCCTTATGCTCTTAATATGAAATCATTGTTTTATATAACTTTCTAGTCTCCTAGTGTATTTGACGTATTTATTATTATTCATGCTGATATGTTTTGTTTTTTTCGCCATCACATGCTAAATTACTTTATATCTTTGAATATTCCTAATTGCTCCTATATCATTAAATATTTAGACTGATAGGAGGATTTGTCTGATAAACACTTCCTGAATATAATATTCTCAATATTTTTGAAATTTCACGTACAGTCAGTTCCTCATAGTGGAGTTACAGTGTCAAAAAACTTAATTGCTTATTCCATCTCTTGATGGAATCTGGGTCTTTAAAGAAAATATTTAAAGCTTTGTGTTTGCTTCCAATTCTCATTAACATGCAAACCCTTTGCAGATGTGGAGCCTGAAACCGGAGTCCCAGCTTTGAGCACCCTTAGTAGGTGTGACTCTGACTCACCTTCTGCCTTCCCGCTGCCCCTTTTCCTGCTGTTGTGAAGAGGCAGCACTTCCAAGGATGTGAGGCCTGACCTTTCCAGAATGTTTACCTCCACAGTCAGCCTCCCCACCAGCTGCTGGGGGCGCACGCTGATGGTGTGCTCATATTTGCCCAGCCTCCTCTGCAGGAGCTCTTCGTAACTGAGGAGGAAGGCAGCCTTGTCCTTGCTGGGAATCACCAAAGAGGCTCTGAAGACGTCAGTCCCCTTCTCCCTGTGAGGAAGTACAAAATGGACCACAGGTGAGCTCCGGGGAGGGAAAGCCTGGTTCGTGCCTGGATACCTGCCATACTCGCCAAGCAGACTGTTGGGCCTAGCCAGGTGAGAGTGCTAAGAAAAATGCGAGCTATCAGTGTTCTTCAGTGGTAGAGTGCTTGTCTGGAGAGCAGGAAGCCCTCAGGTTTGGTCTGAGTATCATAAAAAAGGGGAAAAAAAAAGAAAAATGAAAATTAATTTTAAATTTGGAAGCAGTATAGACCTACGCTGGAGTAAGGAAGGCTACTGTCATGGTTTGACCTGAAGTGCCCATCCTTCTCAGGCTCCCGTGTCAGGTACTTGGTCACCAGACAATGACACTGTTTTGAGGAGTTGTGGAACCTTTGAGCTTAGCTAGAGTAAGTAGGTCACCAATGAAAGGTCCTGAAAGATAACAGCTCAGCCCAGCTTCAGCGCTGCCATGTGGGAAGCCCCACCACAAACTCCTATCGCACAGTCTGAAAGGCAACCACCACCATGGTGGATAAGACCCTCTGAAACCATGAGCCAAAATAAAACTTTCCTCTCTCCAGCTGCTTCTGTCGGGTTTGCTTGCAACCTACCAAAGGCCAAAGAATATTGAGTAGGAGAGAATTACATATCCTTAACTCTGCTGAGACAGACCCAAGGATCTGATAAGGAGTGTCCATTAGGAGGTGAGCTGCTACAAGTGTGAGCTTGGTCAAGATGTGAATAGCTTTTTCCCCATTACAGGTGTTGCCCCCCCCCAAAAAAAAGCTGCCATTTTACATAATTCTAAAATTGCTAATTTACATTGCATTTTTGCAGCTTGGAATTATGTTTATCAGGAAATAAACACAATGACTGTAAAAGTTATAAAACTATTAACTATTGCAAATGTTTCTAGGACTTGAGGTTCAAGTCTGATTTGAAGTGCAGAACACCCACAGTAGTTAAGACATTCAAGAACATTCCAAGAAAACTTGTGGGGCGTGTGTGTGTGTGTGTGTGTGTGTGTGTGTGTGTGTGTGTGTGTGTAGGTGGAGGCGGGTGGAAATCCATTAAATAAGAATTCTACAGCCTACTACATTCTGAAAGAAGCTGCAGGAAGAAGAGACTCCGAGTGTATGGAGGACACTCAGCAAGACTACAAGCTCTGAATTCGGGAAGATACACTGGAAAAGGCACCAAACAGGGAGACCATTCCAGTCCACATACAAATGCCTCCCTAAGCTAGTTGGCTCACTGTACTCCCTCTGAAAACTGGAAAGAGATGCAAGTACTAAGTCAGAAAGGTTTCGCTCCACACTAGGCAAATCAAATGGAAAAGAACCTACAGCAAAGCCCGTTAGAGTAAAACATCAGAACATCTGATGGGGAAACATGAGAATTTTTAGATCACATTCATTAGTGAAACCAGATTTAGTTACACAAGACATTGGAGGAAGAACTCAAAGTTCAGAAGGAAAGCTATTTTTATCTTAAATTCCACACACAGAAAATTTGCTCAGCATGTGCTCATGCTGAGAAAGTTTCTTCAGAATATACTTTCAACAACGGTAAGATCATTATAGAGGAGGAAGATGTAGAATCAAAAAAAAAATAACAAAATCAACTCAGAACAAAAGGGTGATTGCAGAATAAATATTTTATAGCAAATCTACAAAGCAAAAGTCGTATATTGCATGGACAGGACCCAGCATTGTTTTAACAGCTACAAAATCAGAATTTATCCTGATCTTTCATTTATCGTGTAGTTGATGTTGGTCAGGCATCCAGGGTAATTGGATGTCATTTCATGCAGAAGCTCAGTTGTAATTCTTCATTTTGTTATCATTTCAAACAAACTATGTGTCTTAGTAGATGTTAACAGTGGCAAAGTTAAATTCTATCTCCTAAGGAAAAAGAAAAGCAATTAGAAAGTCCAGGACTTATGGTCCAACTAAATTAAATGGTGCCAGGGGCCCTAGGCAGGGTCTCACCAAACAAAGAGATGGGGCCACAGGATTTGGGGAAGAGAAAGGGTGGGTAAAAGTTCAGTGAAGAATTGTCTGAACAGGCTCAGAGCAATCAGGGATGTGTGTAAAGCCATCAATGTCACCTTAACTGAAATGCCTCAAGGTCCTGTGTCCTTGGGAACTGTAATGTTGGGAGCAGTTTGTCCTTATCTGAAAACCCTTTATCTGGCAGTCTAAGTTTGGTTTGCTTTTCAGAATCAGAGTGAACCCAAGACTCAGGTCTTCCACACAGAAGGAGCTCTTCCATTCTCACTGATGGCATTTCAGACTACCAAGTTCTATCATTTTTGAAAACTAGTTTTCCCTAAACCTATCCTTTTAAGAATGAACAAAATCAGGTTTACAAATACACAACCTTTTGTCTTGATATTAAAATGACTTTTCTGCAGATGGAAAATAAACCTTCCAATTAGGCTGGTAGAGGGGGAAGTAAAATCTTTGTGTACTACAGAGCACCAACCAACATCAATATTACAAGGGAGATGCTGGGACTGGAAAGATGGTTCGGGGGTAAAGTGCTTGCTAAACAAACATGAGGACTTGGATTCAGATCCCTGGTATGGATGGAAAGCCAGGGCAGACCAGGATCACCTGAAGTTCTAATATGGGGCTGGGGAGACAGGAGTCACTGTGATCTCTCACTGGCCAACCCTTCTAACCAAAACAACAAGCAAGGTTCAGTGAGAAAACCTTTCTCAGAAAACTACAGTAGAGAGTGGTAGATGAGGGTATCTGAAGTCATCCTCTGGCCTGCACACACAAGTGAGTGCACACACACACAGACACACACATACTCCACTCACCCATAAATGTGTATGCACACACCTGTCCACATACATAATAGTATAGGTTGTTTATTAGTCTAGAGGAATGCAAATTCATTTCAGGCTGCATTATATATGTTAATAAGTTTGACAATGCAAAAAAAAATAAGTTATATATGACGAACAGTGGGCACTACAATTACAAAGAGGCAGAGGGAAGGGTAGAAGAGAATGTCATAATTTAAGATGTATGAGATAGCCTAGGCTAGTCTACTAATAGAGAAAGAAATTGACATTATGAAGTTTAGGCTTTAAAAGAGAAGTATTATAAATTTTCTTCCCAGCAGAGTCTGTGGATAATGTTTTATTCCTTTCAAAAAAAAATCAAGAGAAACCATAGAGTTAAGGAAATAACTATAAAGACAACAGTACAAAATTTTCAGAAATAAATATTCCAGAAAGTAAGACTGAGGTGTAGGCACAGTAGGCCTTCCTTGTTATTATAAGTGCTTGCTGCTGTATTTTAATTATGTATATTAATCATTTTGATTAAAATGAAAAATATTTGGGGAAGAGAACAGATAGACAAAGACATAAAGGATATAATGCTTTCTTTAATTGGATCCTAGTTGCTTAATTAACTTAATTAGCTGGTACTTACTCATTATCATCTGTGGTTTTGTTTCTTTTTTCTTTTATCCTATTAGCGCTTTTCTTTTCTTTCTCTGTAATTTCACTCTGATAGACGTTGTCTCCTATAAGCCTAAAACGCAAGACACAGTTGTATTACCAGCTCCAAGAAAAACTCCAGCACAGACCTCAGAGCCATGACAACCCCAGAAAATATTTGTATGTGCCCGTTGGGTATGGAGATAAAATGCATTCATGTCTCAGCACTAGCCTTGGAGCATTCATTCCACTGAAAAACTATTTTCATCAAGACCAAAGGGCAACACCCCAAATCATAATTATGGTACCTCCATAATTCCATAGGAGTAAACCCCAAGATCTCAAAGTCCCACAGGGAACTAAGCAGCTTGTACATTTCCCAGATCAAAAATCATACACAAAATATCTGCCATGGTTATAACCCTTTACCTCTTGGACCAGAAGAAAAAGAAATCTAGTTACTCTAATCTCAAAGGTTTCAAACTATCTCACTGTTTAGGTCTCAAATTAATCATAGTTCTTTCTAAGCTACTTCCCTGAACACCCTTCACAAAGGAGTCCTTCTTGCCAGCCATGATAATAATAATCATAGTACTAGTTCTCAGGAGGCTGGGGCATGAGGTATGATGAGTTCAAAGCTAGCCTGGTCTACATAGTAAGACTTCATCTCAAAAACCACAAACAAAATCTTTTCTCAATCTTTATACCATAGAGTTCACTGCTGTAAAAAATAATCTCATTTACTAATTCATTTACTTAATTATCGACTATTTCTCTTTCACTGGAATGTTTGGAACAGAGAAATATTCTCCTTTATTATACCAATCCTCTCAAAGAGTGCCTGCTCTAGAGTGGACATGAAGGATAGAGAGAAGAAAGGGGGGAAGGAGGAAATTATAATATGAAGAAGAAAAGAATGAATGACAGAAGAAAATAGATGAGAGGAGAGAGAGAAGGAGGGAGTAAGGAAAGGGAGGGAATTAAAGATGTTAGGAAAGAAGTTAAGAAGAAAGTAAAGCAAGCAAGAAGCTAGGAAATTAAGGGGGAGAGGAAGGAGGAAAAGGGAGGAGACAGAAAGGAAGGAAAGCAGGTAGGCAATCTTCTGATTCTTCGACCACCTATAGGACATGAGTTCTCATAGTTAATGGGCACCTCATACCCTCTTGTGTTCACCTTGACAGTCCACAGACAACCCTGTGGTCTCTTACCACTGTATCACTTACATGGTGAAGTTGGTGATGAAAGCTGATTCTGGAATCTGCATCTGGAACTCAGCATCCTGGTCTTCGGAAGCTCTGTTGAGCATTCTGCAGGAAACTGTGGTGAAGGCATAGCGAGAAATGATGGTAGACTTCACCGAGAACTCTGCCATCAAGGGCTTGGTTTTCTGTGGGAGTTAAGATGCATGGTCTTCTCAGTGATTCATGAAAATGGAGACAAACACTTGAGGTAAGTTTGAGTCTTTTCCCACATGGGAAACAATCTCCAACTTGAGAACCAGTGGGATTTGAGTCCTATGCCCTTTCTATATCTTGTCTTTAATTCTCCATTTTAACTCATTTCACTTGTAAAAACAACTTTTATTGAATAGTCAATTCATGATGTAGAGCCAACTCCTCAAAACTGAACTTAATAGAATACAGTGGTTTCCAGTCTCACAAAAAGATGTATTAATTAAATAGAATTAAATAGCTCTGTAAATTGTTGACATTTTAGAGGTATGCTTAAATATAGATTATTTCTGCTACAACCTTTAGATAACAATGCAGGATCACTTAGTTGATCACAACTTTGGCATGTGCCCACCAGAATGCCCAGATTTTCAGGTTTCTTTCCATAGCCATTCAGAGAAAACTGTAGTCAAGGGCTTCCCTACCTGTATCACAGCTCCATGATTGAAATTAGTCATTATATAAATTAGTAATGAACTAATGTGAAACCTAGGGGGTAAAATCTTAAGTCTGTGATAATTACATTTATCACAAAAGTATATTATTTATTTCATGTGTATATGTACACTGGCACGCATGTCATCACACAGGTGGGGGTCAGAGGACAACTTGTAAAAGTTGGTTCTCCGCTTCCATCATGTGGATCCCGGGGTTTGAACTCACGTCAGCAGGCTTGGAGGAAAACCCCTTCATCTGCTGAGCCATCTTCTTATAAGGGCAGTATAGCTGGTGTGCAAGCTTGAAAACTGTTCTCTTTTTTAAAGTTTGGTTTTCTTTTAGCTATATCTGGTAACAGCCGGTAAGAGAAACCCCATAAGGAAGGAAACCCCATAAATAAGAAGCCTTCATGAGAACATGTACTACTAACCCTGATGCCCTAACTCTAGGAATTGATTGAGCAACTGACCATATTACGGGCTGATTGCATTGCTGCCGCTGCCCCACCCCCCAATCCAGATGTTGAAGCCCTATTCAGCTGGATGTGAGTGACGGTGACAGCAGAAAGTCTACAATAAAAGTCTTCTGGGGCTCAGTTTTTGTTCAGTGCTCCCATCCCAGCTTGTAAATAGCGAAGTTCATGATGTGTGTACATATGTATGAAATTTTCAGTGTGCGTGCATGTGTGTATGGAGAGAGAGAGAGAGAGAGAGAGAGATGAAAAAGAGAAAGAGAGCACTCCAGTACTTCTTACATTAACACAGATCCTTCATCCTTACCATCTTATCTGACCATTCTTACTTGCCAAGGCCACCCAAATTGTGGTATTTTATTATGACTGTCCGAGCAGACAGACAAGAGACAGTAACCCCATGTGATCTTGGAATCAACATATTTCTCACTTTATAGATGGCAGTAGCAAGTCACACTTAGTGATGGCACAGGGGGGTGGTGACCCTCCAAACACAGAAATGGGACTTGAACCCAATCCCAGTTGCCTGGAGCTTGCACATGCCACCATTATTGAGACCATCTATAGGGAAATATTTTCATCCTCAAATCTCCCAGCTGGTCCTTGGTCCAGAGTGTTGTAATGGGCCTTCCTGGTACTCAGATGGAAGGGTATTCTGGGACTCAGAATCCCAGGAATCACACAGCACTGAGGGGGGAAAGTATCTCCAGTGAAAAAATCCTAGGACCACACAGCTCGGAGGTGGGACAGTGTCCCAGTGAAAGGGTATCCTGAGGCATGGGAGCCCGGGAACCATACAGCTCTGAGAGGAAGCCTTCTCAGCAGGGGCATTGTAGCTCCCACAACAGCTCCAACCCCAGATGAGCTGAGGGGCTTAGGAGCCTCAGCCCCACTTTGCAGCCATCTTCTCTTCTTCTCTTCATTATTTTCTTCCTTGCTTCTTCCCATGAGAGAGTCATAGCAAGCAGTAAATTTCTTAAAACAGTTTTATTGGAGAGATGAATCCAGGAGAGGAGGGATGAATCTAGGAGTGGCTGTCTCTGCTCCTGGGAGAAGGTAGCAGGGAACTGGGCAGACACAGCATTTATATAGGATTTCTTAGGGGGCAGAGCATTATAGGGCAGGAATTTCCAGAGTGAGGATTAGTGAGATTTCAAGTCCTGAGGTTGGGGAGCTCAAGGATGGGTGGGCTTTCCTTTTCGGGGATTGGTGGGTGTTTGTCCAGACTTTTCAACTCCAATTAGCATCACCTGGGGTGAGTCCTATTAAGGGGCTGGAAATGATCTTTATGACAGTTACAGAGGTCTGGGAGAGGATCAGGGTTGCTGAAGCTCCTTGGGCAGGAATCTGGCTGCTTTCTGCCTTGAGGGGTTACAAAGTTTATGAAGTATACAAAGTTTTAAAAATTTACAAAGGGAGTCCATGGCAGGGAAGCCTTTCCCTGCAGCATGAATAGCCAGAAGAGACTGGAGAGGAGGTGCTGCCATTTTGGGCAGCTCTCATGGCAGCCATAGGCAGAAGCAGGAAAGGTTGTCATCATCATGGAGGCAGTAGGCCTTTGAGGCAAGAAATGCTGTCAGCTCCCATGATGGCAGGAGGCTGAGGCAGGAGTGTTCACCATGGACAGCTCCTTCTGAGGAGGCTCTGAGAGGAGCAGCCATTTTGTCTGCTCCTGTCTCCACAGCACCAGGGTAGGAAGGCCACTGTCAGTGCACTGCTTGTGTCTTTAGTGGTGTCCTGCTGAGGGGCTAGACCACAGCTCTGGGAGGGAGGCTGGGCAGTGCAGGCCGTCAGTGAGCCCTGAGTGGACCTGCCTTACTCTGGGAAGAACATACTTTTTTTTGTTAAACAAAACTTGGACAATTCAGCCCTCGTCCACTTGGTTTCTTTCAAAACCTAGAGTAAATTGTCATTGTCATGTCATTGTCAAGCATATTGGCCCCATGATAAGAAAGTGAGTTGGTGAGTACCGCACTCCTTCTAAAGGAGCTGTTGCATGGGCTCCCGCTGCTCAAAATCATCAGAACAAGAAACAAGCAAACAAACATAAAAGAACAAAAACCTCACGTGATAATTTATAGGTGTCCTGGCAGTCTGGAGCCAAGGGATACCGCAGAGTCACAGTGTACAACAAACCTCACACAAAAGATTTGTTGGGAGGGAAGAAACCGGGGGTGGGGGTAGCTGGCTGCCTTGGGTTTCAAGAAGCAGCATAGAACTGAGCAAAAGACAGTATTTATATAGGATTTCTTGGGGGCTGAGGAGAGGATATTTCTAGGAAGGAGATTTCCACAGTGGGAGTTGGTGGTATTTCGAGTCCAGAGTGTAGGCTTTTTAACTCTATGGAGCAGTGGCTGGATCCAGCCATTAAGGTAGTTAGAGTGTGCTGTTGCGTGGATAGAAGTCCTCAGGGTGGGGGCCTGGCCATTTGGGTGCCTCCAGAGGCTTACAGTGCGTGCAAAGGCAATATACTCAAACGCCCACAGATGGGTGGGCAACAAGGATCTGAGCCAAACAACAGACAGGAAAAGAAAACTTGGGCGTGCTCCATACAAGGGCGTCAACAATACTCATCTTTTTATCAGCTTCTGATGGAAAAATAATAAAACAAAACAAAACAAAAAAGCACTTCCAGTTTTTAGTGTCTGAAAAAAAAAACTGACAACTAAACAGGAAGTTGTGAAGGATACTGTGTGTCTCTCTGGGACAGATGGGATGCAGGCTGGAAGTGAAGTTCTACTAAGCCAGCACCAAGTGCAGGGGAAATGAAGCACATTTGAAGTAATTTTTACTGAAAGAAGAAAAATTCCCCAGTTTGGTCCAAGGAGTTTTAATTGTGGTTCTGTAGGTGCCTTCCTACACCTGAGCAGATGGAGTTAGGAGGACCCCAAGTTAAAGCCGAAGGCCAGCAAAGATGGGAGGGGTGGAGAAGGAGGGGAGGGAGGGGATAGAGAGACAGAGGTGGCTGAGTTTGTACACCTCAAAGTTACATTGTTAAGGCGTATACAGGAGCATGTGTTGTTAGATTTCCGCTTGTATAAAAACTATGATCCAGATGCCCCTGAAAGTGTGCAGAAAACCCTGATGACCTACACTGTGGAAGGTAACTGAGTAAAGAGGGTAAAACAAGGGCTTGGCCATCCATGCCCGTTGTCAACTAAACACTGTACTCACTCAAATATAAAGACAATTAAAAATTTTTTAAATTACAGCAGAAAACAATTCATCAAATACAATAAGACATTTACAGAATCCTGTTGGAATTTATTCTGTTGTTTGAGGGAAATTAATATTTGTATGATATGCATTTCAATTTGTTCACAGTGAGCTTTGCTAATAAAAAGTTATCGTGTTTCCCACACTAAGGGCTAAAAAGGGTGATTCCTAAGGTGTGGTCCCCTCACCAGCAGTGTCGCTAAGAACCTTTCAGAAAGACAAGTCCTCTGGCCTCACTCCAACCCCACAGAACCAGGAGCTTGGAACCGTCTCTCTCAACAGGCTGCTGAAGAAGGATGAGCACTCACATTCTAGAAGTTTTAAAGTAACTTGCAGTATCTCCCTGAATCTGTGAATGGAGATGGCTCGAATAAGCCACTAAAATCACATCCACTTGTGAAATCCATGGAGCCTAACAGTAAGCTAAAAGTCAGGAATGCGGCCTTGGTGTTCAAGAGATCACGCCCCAACTCTGAAACAATTGCATTGCGCAACACTCGTGTATGACAATCTGGTCTCTCTCCCCAGAAGTGCTTTGGCTCCAAAAGAGATTCCAGATGTAGTTTAACAAAATGCTTCTGTTAAATGATCTTATTAGGGATCTTTAGTGCATTTTATAAAAATGAGAATTAGCTGAAGACAGATGGCAGTGATGGTGGTCTCAACCGTGTGATAGCCTGTCACGTTCATGAAACTTACAATCTGTGTCTCACCGTCTGTTAAAGCAAGAACCCCAGAGTAAATTACGAATTGAGATGAAGTGTTCATTTTGATCTCTATTGTTGCTGGGAACAGGTTTTCTTACTAAAT